CAGAAATTTGCACACCTCTAACTTCTTCGAGCTGATGAATCGCTTGAACAACGGTAAGGTGCCGGTTTCGTAAAATTCTCAAAGTCAAAAACAGGTCATCCCGTGGTTCTGTTACCCTAGGCCGTCCAGAATCGGGAGTTCTATTGAAAGAACCAGTTTCCTGAAAACACCTGACGGCGTCTTGTAAAGTTTCATATGGAACTCTGATGGCATTAGCTGCATATCTAATGGAACGTCCATCATAATAAGTGCCACACCACGCACAACATCCTCAGCACTAAGAGGCATTTTTAAATTTAATATTTAAAAAATTTAAAGCCGGAGACTAAGAAATGTGCTGCATGAAACAGCACTGAACTAATGATACTGAATAAACATTTTGATTCCATAGAATGTAAACTTTGGAATCTAGAATCATTTCATTGAATTAAGGATTAAGGGTTATTGTCCTATATATTAACATTCCTAATTGAAAACTAACAAAAAGATTACCTATTTATTCATTAAAAACAATAGACCAATCCAAAGCAGAAATATTTTTAGATGAAAACATGAAAAAATCAAATGGGTGGAATTTTTTGCCTGTCAGTGTATATATATTTAGGGTGGGGTGGCCGAGTAGACTAACACGTGTGCAAAATATGTATTGCCTGGAGCAGCCTGTGATAAACCAAACTTTGTGAGTTTTAACTCTGACATTAATCCCCCATCCTCACCCCTGGCCGGGGAAACCCTGTATCACCTAAAAGGCGAGGAAGGGATGGGATGATCAACTGATAAGGTATAGATTTAAAAAGAGTTATCATGGTTTCCACTAAATACTGAATCATGAAAAATATTCACAAAATTATCAAACTATATATACTCTCTAGCTCATAGCAGAGAATAATTCTAAACTGATTAGTGAATAAGGAAGCTTTGCATATCTTGAGCATATTACGGTGGACAATGATTGTATTTCTTCAAACCAGACTGCTGCTGAATGATCAGAAATGAAAAAAAGGAAGATTTTCAGCTAAAGTCACTTAACTTTCTTTATAATATATAGTAACTAAAATAAAATTGTAGAAATATAATAATATTTGTTTAAAAATTATTATATATTTATATTATAATACTTCAACAATATTTCTACCAGTCTTGACAAAAATTCTATTATTGAAAAAGAATATCATACATTTAGTAGAGTAGAGGAACAGCCTACTTCAGCGAATGAGGTACTTAACTCATAGCCAAGCGGCCAAGTTCAAGTAAGGTTGTGCTAGATAATTTATTTATCTGTGCACTGAGGTATCCACTCTCTTAACTTGCTGACTTTTCTTTTTTTATATTAGTGTCAACAAATAATTGATTGTGTTGAAATCAATGTTATTTATTTATTTGTTTACCAATTAGGCTACACAGATGTTTGCAGTAGTGGGATGTTATGCATGACTATAGAACAACACAAAACTACAAGTAAAACAGTACAAGTTTCTAATGCTTGTTAAATGTTTGGTGGTCCCTGGTCAAGGCTGACTTCTCTGAGCTCCAATGTTGAAATGGGCAGGATCCACTACCACCTTCCAGCCATAAATGAATTTCTTGAACTGTAGAAAGTTCTTCTTATTTACCAACTGAGGAAATTCATTCCTGGTGAGGACATTAATTCTCATAAGTTTTCATCCATTGAAAGCAGTTCAAGCAATGACGAAGAATGAAGAATACGTCCAAGTGAGGTGGTCACTTATCTAGGCGTAAGATTTGGGAAAAAATTCAACGTTACCCCTCACTTGGACTATCTTAGAAACAGGGTGGCCCTATCTTTGAACCGTCTCAGTCGGGTTGGGGGCGCTTTCTGGGGCCTCAGATACCCAGCAACCTTAACAATTTATAAAGGAGTGATTCCGGGTATCATGAGGTATGCATCTCCTGCCTGGAACCAGAACCTCTCTCACCGACAGAAGAGTAAGTTGGCGACAATACAGCGAACAGCATTGCTGCGGGTCACCAGGGCATATCGAAGCATATCCCATGAGGCGGTGCAGGTATTAGGCACCTCTCGACCTTCTCCTGCGTGAAGACATGATGAAACACATGTTTATGAAAAACGGCTCAGCAGGTCTACCGGAAAATCTTAAGGTGAGAATTGACGAGAATCCTTGCAAATGGAAAAAAATTATACGGGACGACACATTGGAGGAATGGAACCGGCGGTAGGTGATAACCCCCAAAGGATCTACCTTGAGGAAGTACTTCCCCACTGTCCGGTCATGTTTAGAAGCAAAGTGGATCATCCTGACTATTGACTCTCGCAATTTCTCACAGGCCATGGGGGCTTTCGAGCAAAGCTTCATTGCCATGGGATGGACATCGACCCCCTAAGCCCTAGCTGCGGTGTTCCGGAGACTGCTGAGCACATCATAGTGGACTGCACTGCCTTTGAAGAACTAACGGCTAAGTTACTGAGGGAAACCGGTCTCTACATTCTCACAGAGAACGATTTTCCTCAGTTAGTCACTGCGGAAAACTACCCATACTACAAAGATTTTGTGTACGGGTGGAAAGTCGTGGTGGGGCCAGTCCATTTAAATTTAAGAAGAGAAGGAAGAGGTACTATACCATTGGCGTGAAACAGATGAGAAAAGCAACCATGAAGAAAAAGAAAAAAAAAATTAAGAAAGAGCAGAAGAACAAGATTTATTTGCAGCAGTGAGATGTTAAGCTGACCTGCCTAATATCTTACTATTGCAGACACCCGTATTGCCTACTAGGCACGGCAGGGTTGATAAATAAATAAGTTCAGGCAATGGCAAAATATCCAACAGTCTCCAGAACCAACACAAGTGTTGAAGATATATTTCCTGGTCAAAATTGTGGTGCTTGGCTCAAGAACACCCATGTCCTATGAGGAATGATGAAATCAGTCTTTCTGCTATATCTCTTTTTGACATATGGATTCCAGTCTAACAGTTGTCTTCAGCACTACTATATATAGCACTATAACTCTTTGAGGGTCTCAGCCTACTTAAGAAACATTTGCCAGGTGGTCTTTAGTCCATATAAAAACCTGCATATTAAAGAAATATTTTTGAGCCTGAAGTAATAACAGGCATATGATAGATCAAAAGGGATTACCAGGCATTAATCCTTTTGAGAAAATAACATGATTCTATCTAGAATTAACAATAAAAGCATTAAAATAAAATTTGGACTCCATATCAGTTTGTCTCCAGTTGTTTGTTCAATCGCATTTGCTTTTATGTCTGTTTTTCTTGAAAAACAATATTTTATTTGTATAAAAAAATGTTATCTGTGTAAAAGGTTTTGATCCCGTGGCAGTCGCACAGACTACTGCACTAATTGAGAACAGTCGAAGCCAGTGAAAGGTGGTCTGAGTCCATAGGCTGCCTGAAACAACTGTTCGGCAGGCAGTTCAGAGGTACTGAGAGGAAGCTAAGCTGAGATCAAGCTATGAGACTGACAGGTACAGCTGATAACCGCTTCATTGCTGTGTAGACCCTCAGAAACCATTACCTGACTTCAGTTGAATATTCTCTTCAATTGTGTATTGCTCGGGGTACAGATATCAGCACACACAGAGTAAGGAGAAGGCTTGCTAAATTCAGCCTGCATGCTAGGGTTCCCGCTCGGTCCTCATCGCAACACACCGAGAAGCTCACCCTCACTTAGTGTCGGGAGGATACTATGTCGTGAGCACACTGCGAGTTTGAGTGTGGATAAGACCATGTAAGTAATATACTTCATGCAATATAGCGGGAAGAGGGCAGTTTGGAGAGAGTCCTTGATGGTTTGGGGTGAAATATGCTTAGAGTCGAGTAGAGACCTCCATGCTATGAAGGCCTAAGGCCAAAGCTCAATACACACATGTATCCAGAAAAATGATACTGATGTGGTACCTTTTGGCCTGTTTATTGCTCTCTGTTTCCTTTTCATGCAGGATAATGCTCAGCTACACATAATTACTGCTCTGATTTCATAATTATAAAAGAATTAGATGCATTTTATTTTTTATTAAAAGAGTATTTATTTACTTTATTGAACATTAGGGAAAGAAATAATGAAACAATTTTCCCATGACTTCAATGTGTTTATTTATTTCTCTTCAAGAGCTTTGTTTTAATTCTTGGCATGGTTGAGTAGTGGTTCAAGTCAATATTTTTATCTCTGAAAACACTGATTAAATTTTACTTATGGTTGGCTCATATCAGGCCGAGGTCTACTTGATTCAGTGTCTAAGACTTCATCTTGTTGAAGATTTCCAGGTCCCTTTGTAAATTTTCTTATTCCAAAAGTCAGTGCTTTCGATGATATAAATACTTTCTGCTTTGCATAGTTTATAAATCAGCAACCATTATGGTTTGTTTCTTCATGTAGACTATATTTACTTATTGTTGGGAGAAATAACTCTTCAGTACTACTGACTTCTATGAATTCCCAAAGCATCACATGACAAATATGCACTTTTACACTCTTTATTTTAGATATTAATAACACAAGTGTGGGCAGGGTGGACGAATGGGCTAACGCGTTGTGCACAGCACCACCGTTGCCCAGCAACTTGACCTATGACAAATGTGATAAAAATAGTCATGAGTTCACATTCCGGTGCCAAGGTGTCTTTTAAATCTCCGCCCACACCCCCTGGCCCGGTAAAACCCTGTATAGCCTCAACGGCGAGGAAGAGGAGGACCCAAAAAAAAAAAAAAAAAAAGAAGATGTTAATAACACCAGTTTAATTTACTTTTGCTGCTATTTGCTGGGAGAGCTATCACCCCCTTCCCTATTGGGCCCTCATATCCTTTCTGCCCCCTGTTGGCTGACTAGGTGTTTAATTAAATTGAAGATTCATTAGTTGAACAATCTTTTGTATGATTATTTATTGTGACTTTTATAAAATTATTTAAAGATATTCTTGGTAGTATCATTGAAAGACTAGAACAATCTAAATATTGTTATAGGTTTTTTAAAAATAATAAATTATATCAATATATACTAACACCTCTATCAGCACAGGAAACGCTGCATCTCTTAGCTCTTCCCTCCAGGATGGCGGAAGGAGAAGTTGCACAGTTGCTCGGCCCAGACCATGGCCTAGTGGAACATGAAATGTGCGCTGCAGAGGCAGAGCTAAGCCAGATAACTTTCCAGATCCTCTGGCTGTGTAGAGCTGCTTCATTGCCTTGTGATGAGGCATTCCATGGGCAACAGCCACAGGTAGTCCTGGGCCTTGGCATTCCACGATATACCTCTTTATCCCATCCTCTGAAACATTTAAATAACACTTGGTCAATGTATTAATCAAATGTTATATTCATTGATTAAATATACATGAATATATTGGCTTAATAATAAGTGTTGAGAGAACAACAAACAACAAAGTAGTTTATTCAGATTTTGCTACACAAAATAAAACAATATTTAATATTATTCATTTAATAATGTAATTATGTAAAATTGTCCCCACAATATTTTAATAACTAAATAATTTAAAATCAAATGTAGAGTAAGTTTAAACACAAAAGCAAAAGCAATAATAGTATAAATAAATCTAGAAACACCCCAATATACACTGTATTTTAAATTTGAAATGACATTTTTTTAGTAGATCGATATATTTTAACCGCATTTTTTAGAAACAGTATTTTTTAGAAAAACAAAAGATTTTTTTAAAATCTTGCCATAATACCATTAAAATCTTACCAGGATATGGTGGTGGTGGAAGGTAAGCATTGAAGTATGTGCAGTTGTCATAAAGCCTTTTAGTGTTATTGCAAGTGATACAAACAGGGCGAGCTGCCGATTGTCCGCCCTGGGGAGTACCAACTGCAAAAAGATGTCTTTGCCCAGCACGTTCTTCATCTATGCCTAAATAATAGCTAAAACAACAAAGGAAGATGAATCATGATTTGCATAAAAAATAAAAAAATTATTTCTATGTTTTATTTATTATTATATATCATTATTTCTGTAAGTATCTCTGCAGTTTTATATTTTCCACTTAAATTAAATTAAATTATCTTCTGGTAAATCAGTTTTCTTTAAAGTTTCTATTATAGAATGTAATTATGAAGTATGAAATAATGGTAATTTAAAAAAATATATAGAAATGATACTGAAAAATAGAAGTTAGTCAGAATATTGGTGAGGTTGAAAAAAAAAATTCTGAATTAATGGTATATTTAGTGTTGTTTTTTAATAATAATGGGCTAAAGATCTAGAAAAAATGAGAAGTCCACATCCACTTGCATCACAGCTGTGACTATCTAAACAAATTACAGTGAATGTAGTTGCTAAAGCCATAGTCATATAACAATTATAAGATGATTGTATAAAAATTTAAAATACAAAGCAATATTATTGAACTTTGTCTATATTTATATATTTTTATTGTTTATATTATTATTTATTTGCTTTACTTTCTTGGATATATGGAATATATCCTGTAAAAAACCTTTAAGGAACAAGAGACAGAAGATTTTATTAATTTAAAAATTTTCTTACAAAGCTGCACGTATCTAGTAAGACTACTTTTTGAGCTGTTTTTAAATATCTTAAGACCAAGATCTTTACTACCTTCTGTTGCACTTTTCAATACTAGACCGTTCAAAAATATTATTATGGGAGTAATTTTTATTTTTTCTAAATAGTATAGTATTTTTTATCTCAAAGACAAGTTCCTGGTATTTTTGACTTTTTTCGGCCTGGTTCGTTACAAGATTGGAATGACCTGACACTGCTATAATAGGAATTTTATTTTTCTTCTGTATAACCAAAATATCCGGGTGGTTATGCTGTACCCTATGGTTCGTTATAATTTTTTCATCTCAATAAACTTTTATACTTATATTTTCCACAAGTTTTTTGGGGGTATAACGGTAGTAAGGTATTTCATTGCCCAGTAAACCTAAAGCTCTACATACACTGACGATAAATTATGGCATCAATATTATGTCACATCAAGTATTATGTCACAGCTAAAGTCTAACATCCATTGGTTACATACTGGATAGATTCATGGGTCTTAAAGTAAAGGCAACATTTATCTGTGACCATGTTTTCTTTCAATATATGGTCTCTATATGCCCTGGTTGTGATAACTTGGTTCTGAATTGCTGTAAAAAATCCTTCAGCTGCGCCATTTTATTAGCAAGAAAGCTTTGTTCGAAACTATTTTTAAGTCAGCTGGTCTGAACGAACCTAACTGCTGCATAGGCAACAAATGTATTCGAAAATGATATAAAAGGACTGTAGTTTATTCCTAAAAATGTATCCTATCTTTGACCATTCTACTGAGAAATCAATTACTTATTATTATTATTATTATTATTATTACTTATTATTTATAGCTTACTAATTGGTTTATTACTTACACAATTTTGTTGCTGTAGTCCCAGGCAAGAATAGATGACACATGAATCCTACCATGTGAGATAACTCCTATCCTCCGTTGCCCATCAGATGAAGTTACAAGTTTAACTCTGGAGAACTTGCCCCTGTCACCTTCTTGAAGCCTTGAGACTAGTAGAAATGATTCGTTTCCACCCGCAAATATTGGTGCACCTTTGGGCATAACCCAGCCTCCTTCAGCTGCTCGTTCTGCATGAATCTATTTGAAAATTATATTTTTATTTGTTCGATTAGAATATGTAGAGTAACAAAAACAGCAGATAAGAGTTGATCAAGGTTCTAAGCATGAAAGTTATTGAAGCTAATAAAATTGATCATCTTTCAGAGAATATTTTTGCTATAAGCCTATTAATAATACAAAAGAAGAGGAGTGAATATAAGCTGTCTTAAATTGTAAGCAACAAAAATATTTCATCAATAACCCTGATGACCACTAAAGTTCAACAAAAAAAAAAATCTGACAATGATTACTATGCCTTTCTTTCATTAAGTCCAATAAATTCTGTTTAGATAACCATATATATTTTATGATCTACTCTTATCTTCCTCTTAAGTGGTATAAAGTAAGATTAATAAATATTCTATTTACCTCAATGCAGACCCAAGTAGGTGGTGCACATACTGTCACCAAACTCAGGTTTTGAGCTCGATTCAACCAAACTGCTGCTACTTCTTTGGCATCTTCGGAAACCCAATTAGCAGATACCAAGTAATATTCTCTGTAAACAAACATACAATAGAAGAAAAGATATATTACCACCAATATAACATATGGGAGATATCAGGTAATAAATAAATTGATAGATGAACCAGCACAGCAAGCCTCAAATCTCATATTTAATATTTATTTTTGTGAAGCCTGTTTCAGATTTGGATTTTTTTTTTTTTTATAATGATACAAGAGCATCATTAATTTGGCGGATACACATATAATTTGACAGATTGTAGTAGTAGTAAGAGAAGGAGCTACATGATTATTAATCAATGAAGAACAAGTAGGGCCACAATTCAATTAAAATTAAAATACCTATATTTCAACAAAATAACCAGCTGCTTGGTAAAAGGGCATTTCTCAAATAGTTCTAAAAAAAGGGCATTATAACATTTGGAATAAAATACCTCAAAATTTAAATACCACTGAGGATTTGGAAAGCAATTTGCAGAAGTATATTATTTATATTTTTTTATTGTAAAAATAAGAAATTAAATGTTCCTTCGATTTTCTGTAGCATAGTGTTTCGACAAATTGCTGAACCACCTTTAACCCAACAGAAGTTTTATTTAAAAAAAAAGTACCAATACTGGGTAATTGTCTTAAGGGTCTCTTACCTGGTCAATATTGTTGAGCCAATATTATTGAAGCAATACAATTGAAGGCAATATATTGAAGGAGTCACATAGGTCAATTATATTGAATCAATATTATATCAGTTAAGATCTTGCTTCCAATAAAGAAGGTTTCCAAGAAGGTAATCATATTTTTTGTGAAAATAAGTATTGATGAATTTCTGATTACTTCAATTGCCTTGGCTTTAGCATTAAAAAAAAAGAAAGTGTTCTTTGTATTTTTTTTTTTTTGTTCCTAGACATTAAAACGTTTCTTGTTTCAAATTGGTTCTGTTTGTTTGGGAGCACTAGTATCCCATCGCCTTTGCCATTCTTGGGTTCTGTTCTTGTTTCTTAATTATTTAATATTTTAAAAAAGTTTAGTAATAAAAAAAGTGTAATTAAATTTTGTATAAAAATCTAGTTTTGAACAAAAACTAACTTTGAAATTGTAAAATGGCATAAAATACTGCCAATTAGGATTAAAAAAAAATTAAGGAGGTTTCACTTCCTTTTCTTCTTCCAAAAAAGTATCCCTCACCTACACAAAATATATATTGCCACTATATCTTTAAAACAAAATTCGGAGGGAGAGTTAACCCCCTCCCAAAAAATAATAAAAGTAAAACTTTTTAAAAGAATTTAAAAAAAAAGTTAAGCAAGTTATCACTCCCCTAATCAAATATATTGCCAAGAGGTGCACCTGAAATTTGGTAACCACCAGAGCTTCTCAAGATCCCTATATTTGGTATAATATTGCTCAATATAACCCTTATGGGTGCAGTTATATTGACACTGTTTCAATAATATTGATGGAGATTCAATAAAAAAAAATAAAATAAAATAAAAATGATATTAACCAGTATGATTGGGGTCAATATAATTGATGCCAATGTAACAAGGTCAATATATTGACGAAATTCGATATTAAATCAATAATATTGATAGAGTAAGGTGGCCTTTATACCAATTTACGTCTCATTTTATACGAATGTATAGCCTTATTGATGTTTTCACCTCCATCGTGTGGTCTTAAGCTCTTACCGCAGTTTTTTTTTTTAATCCTAAAATTCAGTAAAAGCATTTTCATTATTTTGTATGTGTTTTGTAATTGTTAACCTAAAGGAATGTTAACCTAACACTGGAATACAGCAGGCTGCTCCTAAAAACAACATAAATCGCTTTCATAGGTTTTGGATTCAATCGATTGATGGAATTAGCGCTGAGTTAAGGAACAAGACCAATAACATTTTTGTAACACTTCAGCGATAAGTGAATAATATTTCAAAGTTAATAGGCCTATGTTTTTTCAAGATTTAGCTGAAGACCTAAAGATGTGCTGATTAAAAAGTCGATCTAATGCTCACGAGAGCTAGTTCACTTACAGATTGATAAGATATATATCCAAGCTGGCACGAAAGTTTGCGGTAAGTTTAGCTCGTTCGGCCGCTACAAGATTTCGCGAATAGATACCAGTTATTTTTCTCTCCTGTTACATATCGAAGCAATCAATCGTTGCTAGTTGATAACAAACTGGGGCGACCTTCACATTTAGATTATGATTCCGAATGGTATGGTTAAATATTTCCAAGTAAATAAATACTTACAAGTATATAAAACCTCTGCTAGGTTTCCTTTAATGAGACGATGAGCAAAGTGACTAAAACACAGAAAATAATATCAAGCATAGGAAGTTAAGGAAGGAAGTTCCTTGTGGCGCCCAATTAATTATCCGCATGTAAACTATTCTTTGTTGTCTTTGATCTATAAATTTTTATTTTAAACCTTGAATTAAAAATTTTATTTGTTTTAGGCAAAACAATTATTGAAATATATGCTTGATTTGTTTTATAATTTAGGTGATAAGTAGCTCTTGCCAACACAAATAAATTTTGAACAGAACCGATTAAAAAAATTGATGGGTTTTTTAAATACTTTGGGAACAATCAGAAATAAGTAAAACGAAACAAAAGATTTGATAGCTACTGAACAAATAAATAGAAAAAGAGTAGGTTGAATTTCAAATTTGAAGAAAATATAGATTTTTAAATGAAGGAAAATATATTAAATAATATTTTATACCGCTCCAGCACGATTTTATGGATACAGAATTTAGTTCATATAAAGTGGTGGCTTTTTCCCAAATGCGACAAGCGGAAAAAAAATCACATGTAAAACTTTTATAATTCGAAAAACACTAACTTTTTAGCCCGGTTGATAAATTACAAAAGTAATAAGTGTTTTTCAAACTTATGGATACTTCGATCAGATCATCCAAGGGAAATATGACATTAACGGAAATTTGAGATATAAAAATTAAAGAACATCTAAGCTTTCAATTTTTATAAATCATTATTATTAATAAATTATAAAACATTGATATTCATTCATGAATGGATAAAAGAAATATATAACTACAATAAATAAATACAAAAATAAAATAATAAAAATACAAAAAATAAACTAGTTGAACACTATGCTTCTAATCTGCATTTGAGACCTCAATTATATTAAAAAATACTGCTTATGATTTATTTATAATTAAAAATTTTAAACTTAGGGGAAATGTAACTTCTCAGAAGAAAATGCACTTACTTATTTTGGAAGACTAGAGGTGGTAATATTTTCTGGTGGTCTATTTCAAGGGAGGATAAGTCTGCTATCCACAGTTCAACTACCGGATTAGGCGTTCCGGGCTGGAAACAAATAGGAAATAGATGTTAGTTGATAGATGTAATATATATGCAAGTACCTTACGTATAATATACATAAAAACACAGAAGTGTTTATATTTAAAATACAATAAAATCGAAAATGAATGTAGTAGAAATGTTGTATAACCACTTGCTGTAAATTACCTGTACAATATCAAATTATTCTTTCACCTGTTTTATCTGAACCAAAATCCTTAATAAAATCTTTTAATCACCTCATCATAGTTATATTATGAGAAAATGTATAAATAACACGGATAGGTAAATAATTTAAAGGTCTAACACTGTTGGAAGAATGAGTAAAATTATATATGTTTCATGAGGCATTTCCATAATATGTGATTCACACCACATTAACTTTGCGATTCATGAAATATATCATAAAATATGAATTTAAAAACAAGAATTGTCAGAATTCGGTTCTTTGATTGATAAAACCCTTTATACCATGTAACGATCTCATCGTTAAGCAGGATTTCCATAATTTTCTTTTGTTCTTACCTCCCCTTTATTCTTCTACTTCACCTTTTCATCCATTTCCTTTGTGCCTCTCGATTTCTCGGGCTTTGTCTTTTGATATATTTTTCTTTTTGCCTGGGATCAATTATCCGCTTGAAACTTCCCATTTGATAAAAAATCTTGTTCGAACTTCTGATGGTCTATTTATTCACACACAATAAATTAAAGAGGGATCGATAGAATTTGAATACCATCTTTGAAATCACTAAATATATTTGTGTCAATAGTGATTAGTTAATAGTGAATAGTCTATAAAAATCATAGTTTAATTTTCTATTATTTCCCTTTTATGCGTTAATCCTTCTTTATGGACTTTATTTTCTAAGCATAAATTAAATTATGGGAATTGTATTTTTTGAAATTATTAAAATGCGTGAATGAATCACGTAATACATGAAGATAGTCTAAGAAAAGGAACAGAAGCATTAGGAATAATAACAATTGGGAAGGCTATAGGCGTCGATAATACTGCACCTGAATTAGTTAAATTTGGAGGCGAAAATTAAACAGACTTTTAAAAGTGTTTTTCTATATAATTCTATTTTATAATAAACAATGGTAATAAATATACATGTTTTCTTGATCTTCTGTCGCATAATTCTCCTTTATCTGGATTACAATTCTCCCATGTTATATGGAGGAGGGGATTCTCTTCATATATTAAAGTTACAATATATCTAAATATAAAAATACGGTTAAATTAATAGTAATAGATAATTTAATTAAATTATGTCACTACTAATAAGGGGGCGGGTGGCCGAATGGGCTAAAGCGTGTGCATTGCACCACGAGTTGCCTGGCAACCGGATAAGAGATTTGAGAAAATTAAAAAAGTATGAGTTCGCATCCCGGTGCCGGGGGGATTTTAAACCCCCCGTCCTCCCTCCGGTCCAGGAAAATCCCGTATAGCCTAAACTGAGGTAGCGAAGAGTAAGATGTCAGTACTAATAAAACAGTAAAGTAAATAAATTGGTTAAAATAAAGTTTTAATTTAATGAAATAATATAAATGGAGTTGGTTATAAAATAACAGATATTATTTGTTAATATTATTAAAAGTGAAATGAGTATTTTTGAATCCATTAATTTATTATTTATGTATTTTTTTTTAACTCTTTTGATAAATTTTATATATAATACGTGTTTTAAATAAAGTGGCCATTGTCTATTCGACAAGGAAAATATACGATAGCAAATTTAAATTGTTTTTTAAGAAATAATACATTGTGATAATAGGAATAGCAGATAATTGTTATGAATTATATAAAAGAATTTTTAAAAGATAAATGTCGTTTATGTCGAAGATTAAAGATTATATATTTTAAGCAGAATGTATATATATATACACACATTCTATATATATATATATTTTAATTATATATTTAATTAAATATATATAGATTATATATTTTAAGCAGAATGTATATATATATATATATATATATATATATATATATATATATATAAGGATTTTTTCGGATATGTTGATGATGACCAAGAGTCGTAACGTACATATAAAATAAATATTACAAAATGAAGGAGAATAGTGAGACAGGAGATCGAGAAAATTTGTATATTTATAAACATAAAGTTGGTTGAACATAAAGGTTGAGCATAAAGTCCTATCCATTCTGTTCATAATAACCAATATCAATTTTAAATTATTGTTCCGCCGTAGCATACATTTGTTTTTACTAGATATTAATTAATTCTTTTTATGAAAAAATATTCTATACAAAAAAATACAAATCTATCAGTGTAATAATCTGGTATATTTACAAATATAATTATGGTAGTGTAATAATCATACCGCAGACTACAACTGTGTGGAATTTCACATTTTTTATCTTACTATTCATAACCATTCATAACACCACTTCCATCTCATTCTATCTTTTATTTTACACAGAACCATTGGCATATCCATATTAATGACACAATATGTTAGTAATTCGCATGCAATAAAAAATTAAATATTACATTACGGAACTTACGGTAGGATATTTGAGCGTGTTGGAAGATGGAAAGAGGACAGCGGAATGCGGCTGAGGCTCGATCCAGGGGTATTGGAACCCTCGTACTCCCCGGTCATCGTAGGAGGCGTAGAGGAGTTTGGATCCGTCACCTGAGCACCACATGCTCTGCCGCATCTGGGCGAACTCCTCTGTCCAGAAATAAGAAATATACATTATAATGGTAGAGGTATCCTTGACCATAGATGTAAGCAGAAAACAGATGGTTGACCATGCTATATTTTAAAACACCATAACACCTTACTATCAGCTTTCTTTAACACAACCAACCTTCTCCTTGATCAGAAAAAAAAATTAATATACCTTTGGTACTTACATTCGAGATTTTTTATTTAAATATAACAAGTATGGTTAAAACCTAGATATTTAATAATTGTAATAGTTTCTTTTCGCTATTCCAAGATGGTGGCTAGTGTTGCCCAACATCGGTCTTAGTCAACATGGCACTTGCAATGCCTGACTGTTGTAAGACCAAGACCAAGACTAAGACGGGTAAAAAAAATAAATATTTTTTGGGAATAAAAATTAAGACAAAATAGTTAATAATATTTAACAATTTTAGTTACTATTTCTAAAGAATTGGTATAACTAATATAATTTTGCGTTTACTTTTCCGATTTTTCATTCGGGCTTAGTTAGGTTTCCCCCATCTGAAAAATTACAGTAATAGCTCTATAGGAATAGGCTAATAAGCAACTGAAAGACTGTTGCGAGACTCTTGCGCATGACCAAGACTAAGACTGAGTGCGCAAGACCAAGACTGGTCTTTGTCTAGAATTCGGGTAACACTAATGTTGGCTGGTTTCGAAATCATTCAGAGTAGGCTATCTCCGATGAATGCAGAAAGTGTTATATTTACAACCCTATTTACTCGGAAAGCTACCTTGACTAAACGAGTTGTTTAGGTTAGGTTTAGGTAAGATCCCCACCTTTCTAATTCATAAATATGTAAAATAATATTTTTTTGGGTCTTTATAATAATATTTAAAACGTCTTTTTTTTATTAGGTTAATTTAGCTCGTTCTTCTTCAACACAAAATGCTAAAATACGTGATTAGAATTAAATTAAAATTCTCACTCAGCACTACCACACACGGAGAAAATATGGATGGAAAAAAATTACAAATTAAAATAAGCATCTTAAAATTAAATTGAAATTCCGCCTCTTCTCTGAACGATACAAAGAAATGTGGAACTCAGAAAATACCAGAGGTCAGAAATATGAGTTAACTTTTATTTTTAAAAAGTTTAGCTTTAACTTATCTTAGATGAAGTTTTTATTGAACTTCAACTTCAACGTTATTGAAGTTACTACAACCGTTGTCTATAAAGCTATATTATTGCTCTTCAAATCATCCTTCCGCTAGCTTCCCTTGTAAGTGAAAATATCCCTCTTGAAATTTTACGTAATGTACAATAAAGAGTTGGGGATCAGTAAGCTCCGTCTTCTATCGGAAAAAATCGGGTATTTTCGGAAATGTAGGAGCAGCGTGTGATTTTGAAACTGGTCAACATCTCAAGTCTAGTTGCAAAAGGGAACTAGCGCTAATACTTTTATGTCCAATTTTACTTTGAAGCATATATTAAATGAGTCTCATATAATTATATTAAATAGTCTCATAACATATAGTATAACTGACATAAAAAATGTAACCCAGAGGATATGTAAGTTAATGTTTACCTAATTGGCAAGCTACAAAATGATATTTCGGTTTACATTAAGTGGAAAAAATATTTAAAGATTTCTATTTTTAGCTTGAATTCTGAATAATTTTTTTCAATATTATCAATGTCATCAGTGTTAATTTTCTCATGAATAACGTTTTAACTGAACTGAACGAAACAAATAACTTAATTTTCTGTATTAATATGGATTCGTTGTTGTTACCTCAGCGAGGGCTGGGCTTGTTCTATCAGCAGTATACACCTGTTGTCCTTAATTATCATATCAACAGCTCAAACAGCTGTTATCTAATACCGGAAGTACCTATCCTACCTTTGTACTAACATCCACTGGCGAAGTTCCCTTGGGGTTTGTTTATATCTTTAGTGAGATCAAGTTGACATAACTTAGTATTCATGGCGTTAGAAAATCTAAACAAAATTGAAGGATATCGCTTTTAAGAAAGTCTCTTATTGATTGTTGCTGTCCTTTTTCTTCGCTGACGACCAGATTTGTTTGGTAGACGAAATATTTATCTTGAAATGTTGATATTCGCGCTAAAGGCTTGCTAAGAAACGGTGGGCTTAAAAATTAATTTTGAGAAGACCGAGTACATGGCCACCGGCAATACTTCTACTGGTAGGCTCCTAATGGACAGAGAGGCCTGTAAAAATGTAAATATTTTAAAGTACCTAGGTTCTTATTAGGGTACTGCATGGTCGTCTGAGCATGACATGAGAAAAAAAAAGTAGAAAAAGCCCGTAAGGCTATCTGAATGCTACATCCAGTCCTCTGGAATACTGAGATTTCTAAAGAGAAAATGCGACAAATTTTCACAGCCATAACGGAATCTATCCTGACATATGCAACAAAAAAATACGATGAACTCCCGTTTATACTCAAAGGCACAGGCGGTTGAGATCTGGAGAAGATTTCTCCGGGTCACCAATCTAGACAAGATTAGAAATAAAATGATTCGCCAGAGGGAGGATTGGAGCACACCTCCTAAGATTGTACGGGCAAATGATGGCCGACCAGTGTCCAGGATTGGGTCCGGCTGTGAAGAGAGGACGCGCACGACCCAGAAATAAGTGAATGGACTAAATCCAAAAGGAAATAGCTGGCCGAGATCGGCAGGAAGATGATGCTTGGAGCTCTGCGCTGACTAGTTGAGGCAACCCAAAAACAAGAAAATAAACAATAATGCGGAGAAAAACAAAATGTTTAAGTTTTGATAGAAGCTGAAATCCTCAAAATCGAAAACGAGAAGGAAAGATTATTAAATTAATTGGATCTTAAATATATATATATATATATATATATATATATATATATATATATATATATATATATATATATATATATATATATATATATATAATTAAAAAATACTAACAACACATGGATGCTGGCGAGAGATAAATTGACTACATTAAAATTTCCCATCATAAAGTCAATAAAAGAGGAATATCATACAATAACAACAGGTTTATTTAAGAAGAACTTTAAGGCAATGTAAACTACCTTCAGAGGTCATTGACTTTTTTCAGCAGTTCTCAAACCCCTTCAGTGTTAAAAAATATTCGGGTTTCTTCGGGGTAAAAAAAATATTTGTGGAGCCTGTGCGGGATTAAAAAAAAACAATTGCAGCACAGTTATTTTTATTTATTATAAGATGCCTATTCAGCGAATTAAAAATATTAAATATTGAAATTAATTATTATTACTGTGGCATCCAATGCCAACTTTATTGTGTTTTACAGACCCCACCAATTAAGCTCTGTAAGAATGATGGATTATTAAATTATTATATTAAATACCTACCAGAAATATATATCGTTAGTTGGAAGAAGGCCGTCGCAACTAGAAAATGAGCTGTTGACAGGTTGGTACATTTTTCAATTTATATGTCGTTTCAGATGGAAGTCGACAAAACTCAAAATTAACAATTTGTCACTATTGGATTTTTATAATTAACAAGATGGTTATAATTTCTCAAAACTTGGCAAAATTATCGTATTTGAATTTAGCAATATTCCAAACTCTGAAGTTAATGATCTTCTTCATTTTTTTCTTTTAATGGGACAATATGGACTATCTCAAATGCTTAGATTCATAGTTATAATTTAATGAGCTATATATGAAATTTTTATTTTAAATTAACATGATATTGTATTTATTATTTATTATAATGGATTCTATCGTATTAACGGTTTATGACCCGCTTTTCGTGATTCTCAGGAAGCCTTTGTGGAAAATTACTAAGGAACTCAATTTTATATAGTTGGTGCTGGTGGAATAGAATTTAGCCGAGATATTTCCATGAATACGATGTCCATTACGTCTCGACGATCAAAGAGCGTAGATCCTTTGAGTGAATATCATTAGAAATCTTCTGTACCTCAACTCTTCGCAAAGGACATAAAAGATTGGTAGCATTTTACTTTGTCCAGAGAATTATTAACTTTTTTTATAAAAACCTTTTTTGATACAACTAATTAGTTTATCCTTCTTGGCAGATGTGTCTGTAATGGAATTCACACTGTAAGTGGTTGTCTTTTTTAGCTGGAGGTATTACATATGCTGGTTCTGTGATTGGCCGTGAGCTCTTCACCCTACATATCTCTAATAAAGAAACAGGAATGGTATTAACGGTTTCCTAGCCGCCGCAAAGATGGAATTAAGGAACACCTTTATTTTATAGCGATAAGCTCAATTATTCCAGTCAATGAATGCTCGAAAAGGGGGTATAGAAGGAAATGGTGGCGACAGAATATTTGTCTATGGGGTATTGTTTGGACTAGTAAGGAAGTAAACATACCAAAAATCCTCACTCCTAGGTGGTGAGCCAGATGTGAAGGGCGTCTTGTAGGTCAATCTTTTTGGGGTTTCGCTTATATCAAGAAAACAATCCATGGCATCGACAAAGACGTTCTATGCAAAATTAAAGCTGGTACCATTTGCAATATGATTGAATATATATATATTTTTCGCTATCTCGCTTAGTTTCCGAGATAACTGTGTTTTTTTGGTGACCTATGGCCTAAAATAGACATATGTTAAATTATGAGAAAATGGCACCAAACCCGAAGGATGGGACTAGAAAATTATAATTGATTATGTATTTTTTTTCGCTATCTCACATATTTTCTGAGATATGTTTTATTACTGTATTTAACTAGCTATCTCTTGATTACCTCGTTTTACGGTTAATTCATGGGGATGAATATTTTAACTGATTTAGAAATAGAAGTATATTGTCTAGTTGTTTTATTTTACCGTTTTTCTTGTTACTGTGGAACGATTAATTACAAACAACGCTTGATTTTCAACTTGAAACGGGCAGTACATTTGAAAAAATAAATTTACTGGTGTTTTTATATTTCCTTAACCAATAGTTTTTAAATGTTTTTTTCTATGTTGTTTTATTATCCTCTGACTATCTAGCTTTAATTAAATGCCAATTGT